TTGAAACATGAGAATGTGAGAGTGCGAGTATTAAAGTGGGGAAATACATATTGTTGACTATTGATGGGAGGAATATTTCTTTCGTTATCTAATATCAGCCAGATTTACCTAGTTGAAACGAGATGCACTGATAACTGAGGGTAGAATATGTGGGAAAGTTCGGTGATGTATTTGGACTGGTTTTGTGGCGAGACCTCCTCACAAAATACATTCTCCGAATTCGGCTTTGCGACGCGCGCCCGCGGGCCGGGCCAGAGGCCTGTGGGCGTGGCCGGAAGACGGCCTATCGAAGGCTCTTTACGACCCCGCCTGTCGCCGACTGCCGTATCGCAGCTGCCGCTCAAGCGAGACAAACTGGCATCCGGGCATTTCGTGGAAGCGGAGGCCTCCACCGAGACCTTCCTCTCGCGTTTATTTGTGTTGTGGCGTGCAAAAGCACCGCAGAACCACAGCTGATTAAGACCGCCAGTTTTTATCTGCGTGTGTGGACACCGTTTCAGCTTCTTTCAGAACCAGTTTCCTCCTAGTTTCGCCTTGCGCTTTAATTCAGAGGAATTCAAGTCAGCCAGTTTTACTGAAGTCCTTTCCTGCACTAATTTTCTTGCACTAAAGTAAATGAGATTATGATTTTTCATTTTGCGGCTCGTATAGATGTTCTTATATTCATTGGGAATAATTGTTGATTTATCCTCATTGCCTTTCCTATTCTATTAAAATATTCAGATCTGGAATAAAGTACATAATCGAAAACATGGAAACTAATGAAGTACATGATTAGTAGAGAAACCTTATATTCTTTCTTCGTAACTCGCGAGCGTGTAGGTTAAAGATTTTGGATACTGTCCTGTTAAAGTTCATTTGCTTTAGGTCTCTTTTGTCTTGCGAGGAGCCCGTTGCTCCTTTTAAATAGGGCTCGGTCGAAGATTCCTCTGATCTGAATGATCCTTTACTTTTGTCCAATGCCTGCCCTGTGGAAGCTTGTTGTGGAATCAATCTTGAATGATTGGATTGCCCAGAATGAATGGATGAAAACGGGAAAATACAGTTCAACGTCGAAATTAAATTTTCTATTCCCTCACACTAGTTCTGATTAATAAAAGGAATTGATTAATTGGAGAAGGATGTTTCCTTGGTTGCAATAAATATTTTCTAGTGTTCTTGAACTAACTTTTCCTCCTCAAGGCTGTGGGAAGGCTGCATGTTACGCTTGCTCAAAAATAACCGTAAATACCGAGAAAATACACTGAATTTTAATAGGTCGACCTTCTCTTTCTACAAGATGCTGTTTAGAAGCGAGCAGTTCGTGTTTAGCCTTACGGAACTACTGACAGTTTGGTTGTAATGGAGAGTTTGTTGTAGACCTACTGTATATAATCAACTTTCCGTGATAAAGAGGCTGATAAGCGTTACCGTGTTCCGCTCTAAAAGGCCATGAAGGGGGTTTCCCTGTTCGCCCTTGTTACAGCGCCCAGCGCAGTCCTCGTGGCAAAGGGGCGCGGTACAGTGGGTGGAATTCCCTCTAAAAAAGATAAGAACGTAATGTCACGATATCATTATTCAGTAAGTTATTACCCTAAAATATACTCTCAAATTCGATCTTTACTTGTGGGGAGGCAACTTTTCTGAAGTTGCATCAGGCACCTTAATGCGTTCTTGGATGATGTCGTCCTGTAAAGAGGTCTTCCGCCGCGCGGATGGATACGTGTGAATGATTAAACTATATTTAAAACATGTACATTCTTGATTAATATATTAGGACATCTCGTTGGCTATTCTACTACGAGACATCGGCGAAGCGTGATTGGTCGCTGCTCCCACGCTTGTGGGAGGCTTTCAAGGTCCATCACTCGGCTCTAAGAATGAGCATGGGGCTAAATGGCGTAGGGAGGAGCGCGCCCTACATGTTCAACATACAGCGTCGAGGCTCGATCCTGAGACATGCCTGATTGTCTCCGTTGGAGACATAAGCTACTGCAACTAGTAATACGTAGGCTCGCGTCGCCCATACATCTGAACCATGCACATCTGTTTTTGTGGGAAATTAGTGTAGCACATCATTGGTGTCACCATCATACAACCAACGCGTCTCGTAAGGTAGTTGGTATCTAAGATAGACGACACTCAGATGGTCGGATGCTGCTTAGTTTTCATTCAATGTCTACGCGCATTGGAAGTTAGTGATATAGATTTCACCTGGTAGCTCCTTCAGGGTCTCCATGGAATCTCTTCGTGGCCCCCGATTGGGCCGCGGTTAGAACCTAGTACTGGTAATAAAGGAAATTTCGAAATGGAGAAAAAGAAATTTAACTTTAGAATTCTCTAAACTTTGTTCTACTCTCTATTACAACGAGTTATTAATATGGAAGTTTGATTTCGAGTGTCATTTTTGTCGGATTCCGTCTAGAATTCTAGGGTTCACTTCAACTCACTTCTGTGACTTGTCAACCCGAACTCTCCAGGGATCCATAAGGTCATGCGCTGTGGGCGCGAGGAGGGGTGGGGTGGAGAGGGGAGGGGGAAGGGGTGGCGCCT